TGATTTCCTTGTGGGATGATCCAGAGGCTATCTTGTGTTCTGGTTAGGTGACTACAAATGATAGTATCTTTTGTCTTGGAGCCTTTCAAATTCTGATAAGTAGACTTCAGTTTTCTGCAGGTACGTCCTTCAGTTGGTTGTAGATGTTCTGGGGACAGATAGGAAAAGAGCAGGAAAGTTTACTATTTCATATGTAGATTTCACTTGATCCCACCACTTTCAGTTGAGTACCTCATTCCCTTCTCTTTGCTTGGTGCCCACATCAATTTTCCAAGAACTTAAGCCTCCTGTTGCATTAGATTTAGGGTGGTATTTAGCTGTTTGGGGTGCCCTCAACCATTTCCCTTGCTTTCATCCTGGAGCCCCAATTCTGCCTTCCAAGGTAATTCTAAACTCTGAGTCTTGATCTTTTCCTGGCCTCTTTAGGAGAAACAGGCTTGTTTCTTTTAATCATTTCTGAAGGCATTTATGTTGTAGTTATCACCTCTGTTTGCGCTCATTCACTAACACTTGCAAATGCAGTGTTATCTCTCAGCTGTAAGTTGGATCTTTTCTCACTTTCTTTGTTGCTGTAGATTTATACCTTTAAAAGTTAAAACGAACCCCCCAACTCCTCCCAAACCTTGTCACATTGATAGAGTTTGTAGAGGGAGCAGAGGTAAATATATATACACTCAATCCACTATGTTTAACAAGAGGTTGTAGCCTACACTTTTTTGGAATTAAATTTCACAAAAGACAAATTTTTGCAATTAATTATTAGCAATCAATTTTTTTTGGTAACAAGTCTGGATATTTAGGAAAAAAGTTATAAAGATGTTCATTTTATTTCCCAGTTACAAAATATATTGGCCTGGCATAGTGAATCTAGAATCTTTGGATTTATTTCTTTGGATTTACTTATAACAATATGTTTGAAATGTGTTAAGTAGAAAAATTGGCAGAAGGATGAGTGTATGTGTGTGTTTGCAAGTATGACAGCAAGAGAAACGGATGGAAGAAAAGAATGAATCCAAGAGAAAGCAGAATGTTAAATTTTGGTTGAGAGGAAGATAATATTTTGCATCATAGCCACAGGAACATTTTTCATGCCGTAAATAATTTTTAATGAAGAGCTAAACTCAATATTTGTCTTTGTCTAACCTCACAGACCATTTACTCTCTACTAGTGTCTTAAAAATGCTGCCCTACTTGTATTATGTGTCCCTTGAATGAATGCATTTCTGGCTCATGGGCCAGGTTATATGCATCTCTCATTTACATTGGTGTAGGCTGCTTTCTAACGACTCACATAAGCCAAATGGCAAACAATAACCAGAGTAGAGATTGTTCTTTAATCAAATAACTGAGAAGGGTCTACTTTGGTTCATTAGTTCAGTAAGAATCTTTTACTTTTTGAGTAACAATCAAAGGATCGGTTGATCTATTGCTTCTCTTGAACTGTTTATAAAACCATTTGAATTTCCTTCAAACTGTTGGTAAGGTAATGTCTTAGATTTTTTTCCCATCATATTATGAAGCCATTGTTAAGTGGGGTGAATGGAAATATAACACTTTCCTTCAACTATCTGAAGGTCCTGATATAAGACTAGCTGTGGAGAAAACTAACATATTTTTCTTATGCTTTCCCTTGGAGAAATTTTAATAGATAATTCTTAATAATTTCCTCTTACTTCAGTAAAACTTGTTCTCCATTACCTTTTTGGATTAATTTTTTTTTTTAACCTTTACACTAAATTTATAACTACTGTTACCAGTACTGTGAATTACTTTAGTGTTGTATAGCACTGCTAGTATGCTGCCTGTACTTCTTTAGGGAATAAAGACAACACTTGGAATTTTTAAATTTTCTAGATCATAGAAGATACTGAAACCTCAGTCAAGATACTAGGCAAGCTTTGTCATCAACTTTTTGTAGGACCATTTAAAATTATTTGAGTTTTCTTTGTCTACATTTGTAAAATTTATGACACTCAGTTGTATAGGAGCTCACAATTTAGTGAGCTTGATAAAGGAAATCTTATCCAGTGGTGCAGATCATGCCTGTTCATCTTTGTTTGCTCTTGTTTGAACTCATAATAGTTACTCAGAAAATGTTGACTGAAACAATTTGAAAGATAAATATGATATAGAGCAAGTGGAAATTCCAGGAGATCCTTATGAGAATAATTTTATATTAATTTAATATTTAGCTAGATTCTAAATGGGATGTAGAGATGGAGTCTGAGGGGCTGCATGTTTTTCAGAGTAAGGTGATGTATTGAGCTAATTGTAGTGGTTAGATGATTAAAAGATATGTACTTTTTGTGGTACTGTGGATCAAACTCAGGACCTTGAGCTTGGCAGGCAGGCTCGGCACCACTGAGCTAAATCCTTAGCCCTAAAGATACGTATTTTTAATGGGCAAACTTTGCTTAAATATAGGATACATTCAGTATATGGCCAAGCTGTGATCTCTTTTGTTAAAGGGATTCCAGTGCACCCTTTGAATGACCTTCAAACTCACTAACAGTTTTAAGAGTGTTGAGAGCTTGGCCACTTTCCACATGTCTGAAAGTGATTCTGCACGTGAGATGTGAGAAAGGCCTGGCTTAAACTTTGGTTGTCAGAAAGAAAAGAACGGAAAAGCAGCCGAGATTGCTTAGATATGGCTCATACTAGAAAGAGTTCTGAATTTCACAGTCTTGGAAATTAAAAGGTGTGATCCAGAACAATAGCCTTCTTTTAATTGTTTTTTTCAGAGTGTTCTCCCGAACTTCTCTCCCCATCTCCAGAAGCCTGCCAGGTGTGGTGGCACTTGCCTGTAATCCCAGGCCAAGGTCAAGTTCCCTGGGCAATTCTGCGATTTAGCAAGACCGTTTCAAAAAAAAAAGTGTGTGAAAGGAGGAAGCGCTATCCAACATTAGGTTTGGTGATGACATTACTGATACGGATATTGGTGCATTACTGACACTGACCTGAGGTGGAAATTTGTTTGTTTGTTGTACCCACTTGAGAATCATGGTTTTCTTTTTCGTATTTTTCTCTTGGGAAGGAGCCACTTCTTTCTGGACCTATGTTTTCCTTCCTAACTCACTGCTGAGCTATTTGCAAATCAAGCCAACACTTAACGTTTTATTCACTAAAGGAGAACAAAGCACCTGCTAATAGAAGCAGCCTCATAAATAGTGGGAAAAGCACGGATTTCAGAGGACTTCCCTGTAAAGCTGTGTTCATTACTTACTCCTAACCTTCCATACACCACTATTTAAATTTTTCGTAGTCTCCTTTTCCTCATCTGCAAAATGGGGTTAATGGAGGATTTCCTCTAGAAAGTTCGGATGATGGAAATTAAAAGAGATGACGAGGGTACATTATTCCCAAAATAAAAATGTGTTGAATGTTAATAATATTATGACTGTGTGGTTACAACCAAAACTTGTCTCCTTTTGCTGTCAGAAATGTCTGATAGATTTCACAATTTTGTTCATACTGTCTGCTCCCTGGTGGGGCTCCAGCAACACTGCTGGGACTCGAGGATGCATAGCTGCAATCTGTGTTCGGTTTCTTTTCTCAAGGGTTCAAATAAAAACCCTGTGTAGAGAAGGCAGAAAAGTATAAAGCAAAAAATCTCAGCATCTGCCATCAAATCTTGGAAAGTCATCTAAAGGAAGAAAGATTGCCGCTGAGAAAGGAAAACAGCTCTTTTCCGGATATTTCTGCTCTCCTGAAAAAAAGCCCCGATGTTGCAATATTTTTCAAGACATAATATTGTCCCAGATGGAGGAGGAAACACTGACAAACAGAAGCATCGGGAAGGGGTGGCACGCTCGGGGCTCAGAAGCCAGCCCTCAGCTCTTTGTTGGGCCCCGGGAGTCGAGTTTCCCAGGCAGAAATGGCTCCCCCTCAGGGAGGGCCCTGGGCGGGAGAGGCTCCGCGACCGTCGAAGTCCCCCGTCCCCCCCCGCCCCCCGTCCTTGCGGACCCCACAACGTGGTCGGACTGCGGTGCCTTTAAGACTTTTGCATGCTGCACATGCTCAGCTCTTTGTGTGTAGTTGGAGTTTTTCTCTTTTAAGAAAAAAGAAAAGAAACGGGCAGGAGGATGGGGAGGTGAAGGGGGGAGCGCTTGGATGAAAGCGCTCCACTTTTGCAGCTGGGGACGGCAGACGCGAAGGGCGAATTTCTGCTGAACCTGCGAAGCCCTTCTCGATCTCTCGTTCATGGGGCTCCGGAGGCGCGCGGTACAGGCGGGGACGGTTCCTCCGCAAGCGGAGGGCAGGGCACCGCGGGCACGCGGGCCACACCTGGGGGACCAGCCTCTCTCTGCTCGCTGGCCGCGCGGGGAGGGCGCGCGGAGGGAGTCCCTGGTCCCGGTCTGAGGGCCGGAAGAGACCACAGCGCCGGGCCTGAGGGGGGTACGCGGGAACACGCGCGAGGATGCGTGGCCGCCCTACTTGCAGCGAGGTCCAGCTGCAGTCCCCAGCGTCGGGTAACTACTCCAGGGAGAAGATGGCTGCTGGGGGGCCGCTGGGTGGCGAGCGGACGGCGCGAGACTGACCGCTCCTCCGCAGACCCCCCTCCCACGTTGGGCGCGCCCACCTCGGGGCTCCCGCTCGGCCCCGCCTTCCCGGGAGCGCGGCGCTCGGAGCCGAGGCAGTTGGCGCGGGCCGTGGGTGAGACGGGGCTTCGTGGGGGCCCCCTCCTGCTCCCGTCAGGTCGGCTCTGGAGCGCCCGGCGCTGCGTGCGCCTCCCGCCGCCCCGCTCCAGTCTTGCCGGGGCGCCGCGGCTGAGGGGTTGGCCCGCCGCCGACAAGGTCAGGAGACTGGGCAGCGATGCCCGCCCGCGTGCCAGTGGAGGCAGGCGCGCGGAGGTGACAGCCGAGGGGAATCTGTCCTGCCTGACCCGAGAGCGGGAGCGGGGCAGGCGCCGGTGCGGAGGAGCGGCGGCGGCGAGGCTCTCTCCGGCGGAATTCCTCTCCGAGCATCCCTGTCGGCGCTCGCCTGGGCAGCCCCGCTGGGCAGGGGCGCCGCGCGGGATGGAGCCGGGGGGCCAGGCCCGCACTGGCGCCCCGCAGCCGGCCGCCACGGGGCTGTGGAGGGCTCGGGCGGCTGGCGGCGGCGGCGCCTCCTGCTGGCTGCTGGACGGGAACAGCCGGCTGCTGTGTTATGGCTTCCTCTACCTGGCGCTCTACGCGCAGGTGTCCCAGTCCAAGCCGTGCGAGAGGACTAGCTCCTGCTTCTCGGGCCGCTGTGTCAACTCCACCTGCCTCTGCGACCCGGGCTGGGTGGGGGACCAGTGCCAGCACTGCCAGGGCAGGTTCAAGTAAGTGCCTTCCTCGCCGGACCCCGAGCTTCATCCCTGCCCCGCTCGCGTCGCGGCCTCCCCCGCTGCGGCCTCGGTGCCGCTCGGGTGCCCGGGCCGGAGCGGGGCCGGCGCCGCGCCCCTCCAGCCCCGTGTGCCCGCGCGGAGCCTCTGCTGGCGTGGAGCGAAGCCCTCCCTTGCCGAGCATTCCAGATGGCGCAGCGACTTCTGATCCCTGCTCTGGGAGAACATTTTCGCACTCAGTTATGGTACCAAACACCATTTTATCAGGACAGTATTTTAAAATCAGAAATGATGCAGTGTCTCAAATACATACGGACTGAACAATTCGAACGCAGTAGTGTGAAGGTTCAAAGTTGTGGTTTACCAGTACCTCCCAGTTCCCTCTTCCTACTCCTCCTCTATAGGTGACCATCGCCAGTTTCAGTTTAGCAATCAGTAGCTATGGAAAATAGGGTTTTGATGGGCTTACTATGTGTCAAACACTGTTCTAAGCGCTTTAGGTTGATTATCTCATTTGCCCCTCTCCAGAATTCTATGACTTACTAGAATTCAAATACTGGATCTACCGAGTGAAATCGAGGCAGTTCATTTAAGTAGCTTGTTCAGGGTTACCCAGTAGTAAGCACCGAGTCATGATTGCAGATCTGGCTAGTTTTACTCCAGAATGTTCACTTTTAGCGAATATGCTACGTTGCATTTGCTAAGACAGTCAGAATCTTGAATTGAAATACAAGGATGATTTTTGGATAAGTAAAATAATAAAATACTTGGATTTTTTTTTGTGTTTGTGATGAAGATAATGGGTTTTCTAATTGGTTAATTCATTATCCGCTCTTGTGGGAACATCATTTTGTTTTTCTGAAGATGTGGTAGGTTTGCTTTACAGAGGTAAAGAAACTTTCTCCCTATCGGTTGATGTTTATTAGATTCCTGCCCGTTTTAAAAACAAATGGGTCGGTATGGGGAAGCAACAGATAAGTTAGTTGAGGCCATTAGGGTAGCCTTCTGACTACTTGCAGTTAACAGTCAATAAGAATATCAGGTTCCATGCCTTCTAGACACTTAATATTAAGTTTACTGGCTGGTTTGTGGCTCTGAAATTGTAGATTGCAAATATTAGCAAATTGCTAATATTTGTTCTCATGATGACAGCAAAATTTAGGTGAAATGTTTTGGGCTTTAAGGCAAAGTAAGTATTTTCACCTTATTAATGTACAGTATTCTAGGATAATTTTTTTTGAGTTTTGAAGATAGTGTTAAAAAATACTTTCACTGTTCCTGGTTAAAACAGTGGCCCTTAAGACTGAATGTAGAAATGTATGCTTTAAACTTTTAGGTAGTCTTTCCTATTTAAATTAATTTACAACAGGTTTTGGGATGTGAAATCAGAAAGTGAAGTTTTAGGAAACATAGTTATAGCAGTAGTTTTAAGTGTTTCCAAGTTCATACTTTAACAAGTTAACATACTGTAGTATAAAAAATACATTAAAAAATTTTTTTTGGTGAAATATGGTAGTTAAAAATTTAGAGTTGGGGATTTAGCTCAGTGGTTCCAGCGTCTGCCTCAAAAGCGCGAGGTCCTGAGTTCGATCCCTAGTACCCAAAAAAATTTAAAGTGAAGATGAGAGAAAAGAAATTTACTGGTGCCTTATTTGTAGCTTTATTTACATAAGTATTCTTAGACTTTGGCTATGACAGTAGCAGCCATCTTACTTAACTAATAAGGAGAGTTTTGAACATTTTCTTTTAAGAAATGGGAAGATTGGTTGATTCATATGCAATTGAGGGATATTGGTCTTTGTTTTAGGTGAATTTGCTACATTTTATTAAAAAGGACATAGATTACTGCAGTTCTGAAAGCTTATATAGTATCTCCTTTTTACAGCAGGAGAACTTGTTAATCAGCTGGATCAGCAGCCTGTGACCTCACTAGCAGATGTTGTCCCAGTTAGTAAGAGAGATTGCAGATCAAGTTAAAAGTAGCCTAAATATCATTCAGAGATGGTGTTTATAGATACTGTTAAGTAAAAGGAGAATAGATTTTAATGTAGATATAGTTAAAACAAACCCTGAATGAATACATCATTTCGTTGGAAGCTTTGTTTTCTTTCTATAGTTCATTGTACCCTTTTGGTGATTTTGTTTCTCTGTGGAATGCAAACTTAGAATAAATACAACTGGTACAACTGTGTGGTATATATATTCTTAGAGTAAGGAAATTTGGTATTAATATTAAAGAGAAGAATCACATTTAGAAGAAAAGAATTCTTTTTTTAAAAATTCTTTTATTGGTACATTTTAGGTATACAGTGCATTTACATTTATCATTGGGTGCTTGTACCTCCACATGCTGTATCTTGGTTCTTAATTTTTTCCCCATTCCCTGTGCGCCCTTCACCCTCTCCACCTTTCCCTATTTACATAGATTTTATTTCCATTTTTTTTCTTTTCTCATAATTTTTCCTTTCCCTTCTTTCCTTTCCCTTTCTCCTCCCGCCACCCCTGCACGTTGGGACCTTTTAATATTTCAAATTATCAATTATTC